AAAATGGAAAGATATATATAAACTGGGATCAAATATAGATTTGAATCTGACAGAATGATAAGATAAAGAAATAAATAGGAAACGTTTATCAATCTAACATGTTTCACTTTTATTAAAGTTTCAGAGAATGAGATATGGAGGAAAAATAAAGAACGGAATTCTGGTAAATTAAATTTTGTTTTGTTTGATTTTTCATTGGCCAATCACTCACTCACTCACACATACACGTTTTCAAGACACCATGAAATCTCTGTCACTAGTGTTTATTATAAACTAATTAACACTTAGTGCTATTCCCCAACCATGGCACACAGCATAAAATACCTGTTTAGAGGCATGTTTTTAATATATCTTGTTTTGGATAATATAATTTATAGTTTAGCTTAGTCTGTACTGCTGATTATCCAACTGAAGCCAAAGTAGTGGTACCCACAAGAAATTGCTGTCAATGTCTTTATAGTTATTTATTTCCAATAAATTGCAATTTTGCATTTTTTTCCAAAATGGGCCAGCACAGCCATGTAGCAATGAAATAACAATGCAGCAGTGAATGTATTAATGTGGACCTGTTTAATAATAACTTATTCATTCCAGCTGTTGAAATTCCTCAAGTGATGTGGTTTAATAAAAAGTTTCTTTATAATGACTATTATATGTAACTCAAAGAGAAAACAATGACATAATCAAAATGCTGACATCATACACTAATTCAAACAAAGGTTAGGAAGGACCCCATCTCCATACTGGAAAGAGTGATAACAGCTACTGGATTTGAGAAAAGTATTTTCCTGAAAATTGTTTTAAGAGAAAAATTTTATAAATTTCAACTGACAGTACTACAAGCTGCTCAGTTAATGAATGCCAAATGTTTCCTTATAAGGAAACGGTTAATATTACCATTATTAATTATCACTGTAATAGAATGTGGCTGTATAGAGTATTCCAATTGGTTGAAGGTGAAAGTAATCCCTTGACCAAAAAGTAAACTGAATCAACTGCTCAAGTTTGCCATGCAGCAAAATTTGCCAGAATCTAGATAGATGTCGGTTAAGGAATTAAAATAAGATAAAAAGAAAGCTGTTTGGGCCATAATACAGAATCAATATTTAATTAGTAACAGTGAAGGGTAGCCTGCATTAATCAGCTGGTCATGACCCTGCTGGAAGGTCATGTGACCCAACAGGAAGAAACAGGATGGCAGTGGAGGTGACAAGACCAGAGAAAAGAGTGTAAATGCATGATATAATGGAATATGCATACACCCGAGTTCCCCGTCACTGGAATATGATTGGCTGGTGTCTGTCATAAATACAGACGGACGTGTAGGTATGACAGAGTTTAAGTCTATGACGACGCCAATTGGACTATGCCATTGGCTATCCTATTGGTCTACACCAATTGCCTAAACATATTACCTGCGACTACAATGAGTACCAGTCGATTACTGCTACTGTGTACTACTTGGTTATAGTAGCCAAACCACTTAGCTACTTTGATCAAATATATCCCTTTCCGGGACATATCAATGCAAAACAGGTATTTTTCCATCTTATCTGTCACAAAGAAATAAACAGGAGATAAATTTTTTTTTTTTTATAGATAGTGTGTTTGCCTTGTGTTCCAGTCAGGGTTTTCCACAATGTGGTATTGCTGCGGCTGTCTCAAATATGTAATGGTATAGGAAGTAAGAGAGCAACAGAGAAGGCAGTGATACGATTCAAGAATTCAGGTTGAATTTAGAGAATAAATATGTTTATTTTATTTTACAATAATGTCCACCCTGTAGAAGGCCACTCAAGGTTACAGAGTAAGAGGCAAAGTTTATAAGGATATGTGGAGAAGATAATAGTTAATCTTAGTCTTGTACATTTTAAGATAGTAGCGATCACAGTTGGTTGTTTTTGTTTAGCAACATCTCAACCTGTATGGATTATTTAATGCCAAAATCTAAAGATTTTGTACACAATTTTATTTTATTTTTGGAGACAATAATGGTTTAGTGATACAAGCTTTACTAATTACCCCATAGCTGGGGGGGAGAAGAGGTGGATTCATACCTATCCCAAGCATATTTGTGCATAAATGAATATAATGAACCCAACAAGAATTGGAACTCGGCTCTCTGAATAGCAATTCCAAGCCATTATCCATTACACCACCCGCACATCCAAGCTTATAGCATCTGGTATTCCCAAGTGGTCATGTAAGTAGTGATCATGGAAGCATCCTCTTGGGAGTCAGTTCCATAAAGTAAGATATAAATTGGTTGCACTACTCTCTAATTAAGAAAAAGAAGATCTCTTCTTCAGAAGAGTCATTATCATTCCAAAAGTTGTTTGGGATATTGAACACTTTTTTTGTTTTTCAGTTGCTTTTTGTTGTTAGCACAATGTTTAAGCCTAAGAGCGTATACACAAATAAAACACATAGAATCACCTGTGCCACCCAAGTTGCTGAGAATGTAATTACTTTTGCAGTATGTGTCATGTAAGTAAACATCCTTATTACAAGGCTTTATTGATAGGCTTGATAAACAGAATAAAATTTTTTATCTGGAAAAATAAAAATTCAAGGGTAATAACCCTCATTTTATATATGAGATTGAATCAAAAAGTAATGCAATTTGTTTTATTAAATTAATTAGGAACACAATCAAACATAATGTACATCAAGATACAACTATACATCACAGGTTCACATCGTTATTTCTCAATATAGTAGCCCCTCTTTCAATGCCAGTGTTCCACCTACAAATGAGATTGTGTTTCTGAGCTTTGTAAAACTCTGCTGCCTGCTGATGTAGCAAATTCCTTACAGCTGTTTTCACTTCTGCATCACCACCAAAATGTTTGTGGCTCAGTGTCTATTTCATTTGACCAAAGAGATGGTGCTAAGTCAGGTGGTGATGAAGAACTGAAAACAGCTGTAAGGAAGGATCAGCAGCCAGCGGAGTTTTATGAAGCTGGGATACATGCTCTCATCAAAAGAGGTGGTGACTACGTTGAGAAATAGGGATGTGAACCTGTGATGTAAAGCCATATCTTGATGTACAATATGTTTGATTGTATTTCTTATATAATAATACAAAAATGCATTACTTTTTGTCATACACACACACACATATATATATATATATATACACACATATATATATATATATATATATATATGTATAATTATTTATTTAAAAATATGATTCCAAATCGCTACATAAGAGGTCTCATGTTTCAAAACAAGAGCCGAAAACTTCAATATAATCCTTTAAATTAAATTGAGTTGAAAGTAAAATGGGCTCCGTTCCATCTTCAAGCGAAATTTTTGTTGGAATAACGTATATCTGAAATTTACTTGTTTTAAAATTGAAATCAAAATCCCCATGGTAACAGCTAGGGTGAATTGTCTAAATTGGGTAGGCGGGTGTAGAGTGTTTATAATAAGTAGCGGTATAGAGATACTTTCAAGGTGTCAAGTCGGGGAAAGGTGGGGGTGTCAAAAATGAAATGGAAGATGTATTTGCCATCGTCTAGTTTGCTTGTCTATGGAGATTTATTTATTTATTTTATTTTATTTTATTATGAAAGGGAATTGTGCATATGAAAAAAGAAAAACTTTTGTAACGTTTGTTTTTTGACGACTTCATAAAGGGTTATCTTATATGTAAGGTATTTAAACTACTAATTTAGGCTATGGATTATGAAGTGTGTTGTATGCATGTTTGTAGTTAATTATTCCTACCATGAATCTGATGATTGGGCTATTTGTTAAACAAGTTATATAAATTTTTTTATCTAATAATTCAAACCAAAAATCTGATGATGCCTAAAAAAAAACCGTTAACTCGTGTCTATTATTTAATAGATTATTATTATTTAGAAGTTTAATAATGTGCAATTTTCATGGAGGCACAAAGGGCATGGGTCATCCCAAGCTTTACATATTCTAGCCTTGTCAATAATTTTCCATTTAACTTTTGGTGTCTTATTTGTTTCCTTCAGGTGCCAAAAATATTTTGATAGTGAAGTCTGATTTCGTTTGTTTATATTATTAAAGGAGCACTTATATATATATGTATATATTATACACACACAAGTATAGGATTGGTGTAGACGGTATAAAATTCCAATAACAAAAAACACTATTCTTAAAAGAGTGCCCAATACAGAGTAGAGCAAATAAAATTATTTATTCAAAAATTTTAACATAAACATGTTATAGCATTACTACAAAAATAGCCATTTTGTTTCAACACTTCTGGCGCCTTCTCAAGTGATGGTGTTGAATGTAGAATCTTTCTACGTTCAGGTTCTACTTTCAACAGCATCCCTTGAGAAGACACCAGAAGTATTGAAACAAAATGGCTATTTTTGTAGTGATGTTATAACATGTTTATGCTATAATTTTTGAATAAATAAAAAATATATAATATATATATATATATATGTGTGTGTGTGTGTGTGTGTGTGTGTGTGTAAGTAATCTCAATTAAAGGGGAATAACTCTCGTTCCCTAGCTATATATATTTATGTAGCACGGTGTGTTTCTGTGAATGGACATATTCAATCAATATATTTTTTCACCATTTCTTTTCTATTTTGTTCGATATTATTTTGGGGACGAGGATTGAAAAAAAAAAAAAATGCTTTCTCTTTTCTCATGGACTCAATGTCTGAAGAAGGCTCTAGAATAGATTTCAATAGTATGAACAAGAACTGGAAAGAATCTTAAGAAGTAGATGTTTCTGGCAATTTTAAAAAACTGTCATCAGCCCCAACCCATATATATATTGAACTAGAAATAAATATTTTGAAAATGATAACATTACTTCAAAGAAATCCTCCAACTGGAATCTGTTTAAGCACAAGAGGTTAAGGCTATTAACAAACCCTACAAAATGTTTGCCACAGTTCTTGAGCAAAAGTATTGAATGATGTGGTCCATGGAAAATGAAGCAGTCTGGGCCTCAAGATGATGATATGTGATAGGTAATAATTCCTGGATTTCTACAGTTCTTCATGAGATTTGGAATGAGATTTCTCAATGGCTTCAATCAGTAAATCCAAATCATACATTAATGTTTCACATTGGATCCAAGTCTGTAAAAGAAAAGAAAATTAACAGACTTTAGCATATTGGTCAATTAATATTGAATTTCATATATGAACTTCATTTTGGGTATCATAAAAGCTAAGCAATTACAAGGTTATTGTTGTAAATGAATGTCCCCACTCCCTATTGCATGTGTGGACTGACTATATCAGTAGCTATATATATATATATATATATATATATATATATATATATATATATATATATATATATAGCTACTGGGTTAAATTTAATTTAATTTCAATTTAGATATTTTTAGTGTTTTTTTTTCTTTGTTTTTTTTAAAGATTCTTCCATTTTAAATCAAACAGAAATTATTATTATTATGAGAATATACTTTTATTATTTCAAACTATTGTTCTTATCTTAATTGGTAAAGATGCTATTATAGACAATGTTTTAGCCAAGTAACCCCTGACCATCATCAGGTATTCATTGTTTGGCTGATATGGGATATATATTGATCATTGTGTTATTTTGTCCCCGTGATGCCAGTTATTGTTTGTTTATGTTGAACCAGTGTTTGTTTGTTATGTTTAGTTATCATGGTAGGTTTTTGCTGCTTTTCATTATTTAGTATTTCCTTCCTGAGATGAGAACCTTACTACAAAATAAAAAAAGGATATTGACAAATATTCATCTCGGGAATGAAATACTTAATTATGAAAATGTTTTCCATTATTTCTTTTGATAGAAAAAATACATTTTGAACTTTGCCATTATGAAGACTAGCAGAAAAGAGTGTTGTTAGCAATTAGATCAAAGGAACAATAAAAAGATATTTTGAAAATATATTAAATAAAAAATAACAATAAACAGACATCTACATGTTTTTGGTTCAATGTTTCATTTAATGTGTATGTGGTGCAGAAATGCAAAGTGAAACAAGTCTTCCAATAGCTAAACAAAGTATTAAGAAACTGGAAAATTTTCTTAGAATCAAAGAAAAGAGTGCTGAACTGCTATATCAATCCTCCTACATGGTAGTGAATGCTAGACAATGTCCTCATAGATGATGAGAAGACTTGAAGCCACAGAGAGAGAGAGAGAAAATTCTACAGGATGATGCTAGAATATCATGGACAGAAATTGTAAGTAACAAGGAAATATTAAGGAAAATGCAGCCAAAGAAAAATAAAAAAAGACACTTATACTTAGAATAAACAAGAGACAGAATTTCTGGAAATGTAAGGAAGACAGACAGCTTGGAGAATTTGACACTCATATGACATATTGAAAACAAGAGGGGGAACGAGTTACTCTACATAAGTTTGGTTAAATGGGTAGTAGAACAGGGATAGTAAAAAGACAAACATTGCTAAGAGCTAAAAAGGATAGGTAGATGTGGAGAGCCATGATCACTGGACAGACAGGGCATATAAAAGAAGGCAAAATAAAATGCTTGACTTGAGAAATATTTTTGGTTACCCTTACTCAAGCGTTACCTTTTTGGCATTTTAAATTTTTTTTTTTTTATCTATGTTTTTAATGCTTAATTGACTGAATTTACACACAAGTGAATGTAGCAGACTTGACTGGAATTGGAACTTGACTCTTTGATTTCCACTTGATTTTCTATTGCACCACCCACACATCCACAGAATACTATGAATCAGATTATTAAAACACAAATTAATTTCTGAGATGCATTGGCAATTTTCCAAAAGTGCCACTCCCCTACCCATAAGAAAAAAAATAGACTGAACTAGAAATAAATGTCAAATAACATTAATAAGGTGGAATAAAGCTAGCAAGAAAATAATAACAGTAAAAATACTTCATCCTCCCGCCAAAAAAAAAAACAACAGGTAGTCTTTAATCTTCATGCTTGTAAAAAAAAAAACTGTATCAAAAGGGACATTTTTTTTCCTTTGGCACATTTATTATTTTAACTACCTACGCTCCTCGGCTATGTTTATTGTTTTAAAAAGAGATGATTAGAATTGTAATAAAACCTAAACATATGATGACAGTGAATTTATACATTTATTTTGTTCTTGAGAATTTGCAACAAAAATATTAAACACAATTTATTTATTTATTAGATTGTTTCTTTACAAGATTAATTTTATATTTATAACATTCTAAAAACTTATACCATTGTAGTAAAACAAAAGGCAGTGCAATATTAATCATTTACCAATTTATAAAGAAATAAATATGAAACAATTTTTTATTCAGAAATTTATAAACATTTACTAAATTATTAAAATATGTGAACTATAAGAAAATCTTTATTATTTACTATTTTATAAAGTTCAAATCAATTAGTAATTAGCCAATGTTTTACCAACCATTCTAATAAACAATAAATAGTGTAAATAGACAATTTCATAAATAATGTACATTCTTTTATTGTCAATTCTCAAGAACAAAGAAAATGTATAAATTTACTTTCATAAGTTTTATTAAAATTCTGATCATTGCTTTTTAAAACAATAAACATTGAGGAGAGTGAAGGTAGTTAAAATAATTGTGAGGTCAAGGGAAAAACTATCTTTTTGACATATAGTTTTTTGTAGGCATGAAGGTGTCGGAGTTAACTCCTCCTTCAGTTCGTAACCCTTTCACCAGGGGTCGCTCTTCGCTGCTATAAATAGCCGCTGACCCTTCACCTCTGTCTCTTTTCTCCCTCAGGCCTTCGCGTCGACACCTGGAGGTAAATCTCTCTTTTTCCTCAGGCTTTCAGCTTACAACCTCGAAATGTAGGCGCTAACAAGGGATAGCATATCCCAAAATGCTGGGAGCACGCTAAGCACAATACACACACACACGCACATACAGAATATTCACACACACTTTGTCCTTTGTAACTGTTTCCATGTATTGTAACTTGTTATTAATATATATTTGTATATACATATATTATCGGTCTTGTGTTTTGTTTGTTTCTCCTTGGCTTCTTCTTTGGACTTAATCAAAGTCCAACCTTTTTATGTAGTTGGGCTCGGCGAGCAGGAAAAATCTGAACCCTACATGTGTTTCTTCTACGTCAACTCAACAACATAACAGCCACTACAAAGGTTAAAAATTTCCAAAAATCAAACATTAATGATAGAAATGAAACCTTACAATAAAATGCTAATAGTTAAAATACTATTACTAAAAGATTAAAAAAGTAAATACTCTGATTTTTCTTATTTTTTGTTAAATAAACAAAAATCACACCTTTTCTGGTATAATTTCCACTTCTTCTTTGGTAATTTTTTCATCACCATCACTGTCAAACAAATTGAAGATCTGGAAAAAAATTATGTATGCATAATATCATAAGTATGGTTTATATAGGGGTGCTAAAAATATTTCAGCAATACCTCATCTATGCTATATTTATCAATCACTGGAATATGAAGAAACAGTAACATTCAAATTACAGATATTCCATATGTCTTTATATTCAAATATATTTTATATCTCTATGAACTTAAGAAACCTTGTAAATCATAAAAAAGGAAAAATTCATTTTCATTAACAAAAAAAAATGATGTAATTATAATTAGATTATCTATGTATTTTTTCTCTGGAGAAGTTAACAGTTAAAAAAATCTTTTTAAATTCAAATCAATATTAAGCAACCAGTTTATCAAAAACAGACAGTGTATTATGTGTAGGGGAAGAAATTTATGAGCTTAAAAGAATTCCTCACCCTGTGAATCATATCAAGATAACCCTGGCCTGCATTCATGTTTTTTAATTTCTCAGCTGCAGCTCTCTGAAAATAAAGAATAAAAATTACTATCAACATTTTTTTTTATTTCAAATGTTTGATAACACTTCAACTACAAATATATATATGTGTGTGTGTGTGTGTAGCAGTTTATGAGTATGAGCAAAGAAATAAAAGTGAATCTTCAAACATGGCTCTACAAATTTCAATAATTTCATCATTTGAGCATTATTTTTTTTTCAAATTGAAAGAAATGAATTTGAAAGATTCTTTGTGAAAAACATCACACAAAATATTTTGTGTATTTTTTTTACAGTGGAACTGAATGAATTGCATTAGTATAGCAAAAACAGAAAACATCTACATGTGTGCATGTGTGTAACATGGATTTACATTATTTTATCTATGCATATAAATTGTTGTTGTTGGCCGCATAAAATAGGCAGGAGAAGCTATTTATACTTGTAAAGAAACTTAGTCTGCATATTTTTCTTTTATATGTCAATATCACTAAGCATTTTTGTAATATTATATACTCAAATAAATATGTGAAAAATGTGAGTAATTAATTAAGGTGTGAGAATTTCAGTTTTGTTTGTACAACAAACAAAATAACAAACAGCATGGTCAAAGGTTCACTGAAAGCCTAGAATGAACTAAAATTTGTGGTTTATATAACAAAATATTGACTCCAGAATCCCCCACAAAATTAGACTTATTAATCTCAAGCTTATTGGTTAATAAATATTTTCCCAATTTTTAAATATCTATTTTAAGGAGGAAAAGTGTTGTTGATCCTATTCTGAAATGAGCTTCCAAAATTTTCATAGCTTAAGAACTTTTTATTGTCTGCAATTTCAAAGAATACTGCACATCTACGACATCATTGATTGGTTAATATATTTGGATATAAAAATTCAAATTATTGCAGCCGGTCAGTGAACAAAAATTGAGTTACTGTGCTGGCTGGTTTTATACAAAAAATTAGTTTTCAGTGACAGTATTTAAATCTATAGCATTTTCTACAATTCTGAAATGGGGTTCCATATATATATAATATTTCAAGTCAAAATATCTTCTTGTCTTTTTTCTTAAACAAAATACCAATTTCAAAGTTGACAACAATTTTGAATGAAATGTTTCATTATTTAAATTGCAAGGTTTGAAAAAAAGGGCAAAAGATTCTAAGAGTTTAAGTACATTTTCTGCTTATGCTTGAAAACAAGTTCCTTGAACATATAGACATATAGAAAAGCTTTTAGAAATTTTTGAGACAGATGTTAAAAAGTTGCTAGTAATTTTTATCAGTTAATTTCTTAAAGGCTGTCAAGATATAAGTTTGTGAAAATTGGGTTTTGGTTTGAAATATTTTTATTTTATAGCAGCTGCAAATCGAAAGAATCTGATACCAGTTGACAACAGTTGAGGAAGACACTGGATGCATTTGAGTGGAGACCATCATTACAGAGCTGGCAATGCTGGAAAATGTAAAGAAAAGACTCAGTGCAGTACTTTTGTAAGTAATCTAATATAATCTGTCAGTGGTTGCTTGACATCAAGCTGTTCTGCGCAGGGAGCTACACGTAAACAGATGGGACAAAAATAAGGTGGTTTTGCAAAAGTGTGTCATTTAGCACGGCATGGAATATCTGCTTTAGATTTTAACTCTTGCTGAGATGGCAACAACATCAGAAACTTTATCCATTATCACTTTCTGGATTAAATAGCAAGACATCCAGAGCATTTATGGGTAAGCAACTGCACCATATGAGAGACCCGATATTGATTTTAAAGGTACATTTTAATTCTTGGTTATGCATGGTTTCATATTGTAATGAACACAGTTTAGATTGTGTCAAGGGAACATTTCGACCCACACTATAACATGCTACAAAACCAGGACTGATTTGGAATCTTGAGTCACTTTCTTGAATAGCTTTGTCAGATTTAAACTTTTAATTGGATATCTGTCTATATTTCTGAGATGAGGTATTATTTACATTATTCGGACTATTGTCCTCATCTTTGTCGCCATATTTATTAAAACATTTCAGCCGTTTACGCTCCATTCACCCACTTCAAGGACACATGGCACAGTGGATAAAGGCGTTGGTTAGATCCAGTGACAGGACCCAAAGAGTGTGAGTTCAATACCCGGTTAAGGCAGTGGAGAACTTTCAGAGGGAAAATAACCAGGAGATAACTGATAACTGACATCCATTAAACATGGCACATTGAACTAGAACAGTCTACCCCAGTGAGCAAAATAAAGGGTTCAGTTCGACATTCCAACCACCTGAAGAGGGCCAGAGCGTAAAAAGGCCGAAACGTTGTAATAAATATGGCGACAAAGATGAGGACAATAGTCCGAATAATGTAAATAATGTTTTATTTGAATGTCATGCATAGCAGCCAACTTGTTCAGAAATCTCCAAAGTATCATCTATGTACAACCATTTTCTAAGATTAAGAGTTAAAAATGGCTTCCAACAAATTAATCCAATAAATCTTAAAGACGATCATTCATTAGAGCCACAAAATCACAAACAAAGAGCTTTACCAAATAACAAAAGCCATGTCACTTGAAGACTTTCAATTGAAGCAAAGCCAAAAATGGATAGCACATGTAACTAGAAGAGAAAATTATATAATCAAGCTGTTAACTTTCTACACTACCAAAAACAAATAGTTTGGAAGGAAACTCCAATCAGTATTAGAAAGAACTAAACAGTGGACTTGAGAAATCTAATTTCTTGAAAAGAAAACCATTTTAATAAAAAGAATTTATAAATTTAAACTGATAGTAACACTAAGTATTTGGTCAATAAATGCCAAATGCTTCCTGAATAGAAAGAGCTATTTTTACAATTACCAGTGGTACCTTTGGTGATTCTGTGTGGGATTACATGCATCATGGTTGACAAGACTATATATGTGTGAAGTTGGTGAAATTTGTTCCTTACTGAAAGATATTGGTTTCACATGTATTGCTGTGTTCTTTGTTTAATATGATTAATGAAAAAAAACTTGAGTTCTAATCCAGTGTGTATTACAATATGATTCAAATCATAATAAACTGATCTCAATTGTATTTGCCCATTTAATTTCCTTTCATGAAAAGAAACTAATTTTCTTTTAGTATTAAGAAGATGGACTCAAACAGCTTGTTAGCCCAATTTTCTACATTTTGGTCAGATCTTGCTACTGGTAACATGTAACCCAGTACAACCTGCTGCATGGATGGGTAGTTGGCACTTCAACAAGCTCCCCTCAACTAGCTTTTCTGCTGGTGAGGCGGATGACATATCCACAGGGCAAAAAAAAACAAAACCTGTGAAAGCGTGGAAGAGCTTCTTACAGGACCCAATGGCCTATATATATATATATATATATATATATATAAAAATAAATAAATAAGGCTAAGATGGAGTCTCAAGCCTTGAATGGCGAGACCTTCCTAGAGATGATATCTTGAAAAAACCTGTGTACTTAGACTACTGTGAGTGTCTGAGTTGGGTGTCAGGAAGCATTTGGCCTTTTAAAACCATGCCCCAAATCATTATGACAAATCCTTTGTGGAAGATTAATCCCAGTCCTGCTTCAGCAAAAAAAACATGGGTATGTATGTTGCTTGTTCTATATTTAGATGCAGAAACGATTAAACATAAAATATGTCAAAGTTGTTTTCACAGAAAGGAAAGGAATTAATAATCATGTGACTTACTCCAAGCACAAGTTCTGTCATGTCTTCTAATTTGATGTCTTCCTCTTCCAGGATATCAAGAAAATAATCTCTACAGTTTGGAAAAAAAGAAAAAGTCTTTAAGAATGTTAAAAAGAAAAAATATCTTGCAAAAGTTTTCTAGTTCAAGGAAAAAAAAATTTGTTCAGATATTTTTAAAGAAGGTTTATTAAAATTTCTTACATTCAGAAAAAATGTTATTAAATTTCTGAGTTATCATTACTTATATTATTTACATGCAGATCTATCCTTATATTTATTGTTATTATCACATTTCATCCATTGCGTTCTCCAGTCTTCTCCAGGTGTCATTTGATCTAGATAAGCTTCAGGTAATTTTGAACTGAACTCTATGGAGGTAGATTGTTCTTATTCCACTGTACATGTCTAAGGATATCTCATTTTCTCTTTTTTGAAAGTACTGCTTAGTTATTGGTCACCCTGTTTCCACTAAGCCTAAGTTTGTATTACCTGTCCCAGGAATTAAATGCTCCCAAATTAATGAAATAATGCTATTGTTCTGTGAGACAATCCTGAACCTAAAACTTGGAGCTTGTTGCTGTCCTGCTTGACCTCCTTTACCGCCACTTCACTATTTTTTAACTGTTGCTGCTGAACTTTTGCTGTTGTTTCTATTTCTTTCTTTACTCCCAAATTGAGAAGAAAGTTACTTGGATTGACAGACATCTGAAAAAGCTGGAAGGCATATCAGATGAAAAACTGTGACTTTTCAATCATTAGTTTTAGGATTACAAATTTTCTTATTTGAATAAAATGTTGAAATGCACTGTATGGTTGAGAGTAATTTGCTAATAGCCCAAAAAAAAAAAAAAAATAAGTGTGTTGTAGCCAGAGGGATGGAATTAAAGAGTCCTTAAAATTTGCCAACTTAAGAATGAAAAAGAAAAAAAGTGGGTGATTTGCAACTGAATGATAATTCTGTGGGATTGAAATTGATGTTCTTCTATGTGCTGTGTCTCTTCAGGATGTGGGTGATCATAGCTCTCCACAATTTCCTGTCATTTGTAGGTCTTACTAAATTTTTTAGATGGTTCTAGTTCCACAGTCCAGTGGATAAAAGCATTGGTTGGATCCAGTGACTTGACCCAAAGAGTTGTGAGTTCAATACCTGGCTATGGCAATAGTGAACAAAAAACTTGGAAAGTTGAGTTAAAGGGAGATAACTGAGACATCCAGAAGAAGCATGTCAAGTAGAACTAGAACAATCTCCCTCAGTGGATGAAAGAAAGGGTTCAGTTCGAAATTCCACTCACTTGAAGAAGGCCGGAGCATACAACTGCTGAAATGTCATGAACATGACAAAGATGAGGACAACAGACTAAACAACATAAATAATGTAAATTTTATCTTTTGACAAAATAAAGAGAGATAACAATAAAAAAAAAAAATGATGTTGAACTGTGGTAGGAGGAAAGAAGATTTTTTTTTTCTTTGTAAAGGAAGGAACCGTCAAATATGGATGTTCAGTGTAGTGCCATGGGTAACAGCTTGGAATGAGAAATCCAAGAAAACCAGTCTATCGCAGAGAGAAAGCTGCAGCATAATGTGAGAAATCTTATTCTTAAGTGGGTTTCACAATTGATTTAACTATCAGATGCTGATTAAAGAATACTATCCCACATCTGGATGTACAGGTTATTTTCATAGAAAATGGAATTGGTAAACAGAGCTTAAATAACAGCCAAGAACGTTTATGTTTGACAAACGACCTTGCAAAAGGCATGAATCCATCACTTCTACCTTCGGGTATGTGTTAAATAGGCTCTCTAGCCTTGGTTGGGCAGACAGTTTAAGAGACAGAGAATACTGAATTCCAATCCAACCTGTTCATTATCTTTCCTAAGAAGTTGTAACAGCTCCTTTTAAGAAAATAAAAGAAATCCAGAAGTCATGTTCACAACACTGTCGTAACCAGCATGTAGAGAGTCATCTGATTGGTCAATAGATGAGCCAATGACAGCTCTGCCTAGTTTCCACTTTGACAATTTCAAAACTCTCCCTCTTTTGATGACTGACCCCAGGACAGTAAAAATGTACTTGGCTGCTTTCTGATCAACAAAACGTGGAAAAGTCAAACGAACATGTATGTACCATTTGAATAAATATCTCTAATTATTTTATATATTTGATATTTCATGTTTCTTTTGTTGTGGCCTGTTATTAGAAGTGGACCGACATTTTGTATAATTGTAGCAGTGTCTGCAACAAAGTCAAGGAAAATTTGCACATACTAATGGAAGCCGTGGGGAGCCATGATCAGTTGTCTTGTACAGGCATGGCATTAAAAAAAATCCCTTATTTATGTATAAATCTGTATATAAGTAAAAAGTTGGTGTTAAAAATAGGTTCTTCTGCTCATAATGCAGTATAATCTGTTAGAGAATGAATTCAATGTTAATGTGCTTTTCTAACAGAATGTTCTCTCAAAAGGTTGTCTAGTATTACCTATATTTGAAATTTGGTTTCATATGCAAACATGAGTTTCAAGAAAACTTTGTCTTCACCCAACAACTCGTGGAACAAAAATAATAAAAAAATAAATAATTGTTAATACTTACTTCCAATCTTCTTCTCGATTTTCATTATCCACTTCAAAATTAACCTGAGACAAATTCAAATTCTGATCACATTTTTCCTTACATTTCTGAGGATCCATCTTCAAGCCTTCATCATGATTCCACCAAATATTTACAGCTAAGTTGCTGCCATATGAACGGACTTGATGAATCCTACAAAATAAAGATTCCATCAACAAATTTGAAATTAAAATAATTGTTGACCAAAGAACATTTTACTTCAGCTTCATTCAAATTATTTCATGATTTATTAAGGTTTCGAAACTCCATTATTATTTTTTTTATCATTTCTTTTGTCAATAACATTCAAATGTCCTTGTTGCCTTACTAATCCATTTTTAGAGGTTGCAATAGTCATTCCATTCAGGATTCAAGAAGGTGAGCCATAGCAACAAAAATATTGACAACACAAAAAATAAATCACCAAAAAATGAAAATACTTGACTTGAAATGGTTCAAGCAAAAGTAACTTCTTTATTAACATAATGAAAGGAAAAAAAAAAAAACTTAAAAATACACTGTGTCTAATTAATACTTGATAAATGATTGCCTAAAAACATGTATAGGATGAAGGACTATATTACCACTATAAACAAATATACTTACTAATAGTTCAAACATCAAGTTAGGAGTTCTAAACAAATAATCATTCCTATTGATCATGAAATGAAGTTCATTCTGAATGGGCTCACCAAGGCTTTATCCTGGGCCCTATGCCGTTTCTGATCTTCAGTGATTTTCCTGATGTTGTCAGTTCCCAAGTAGGCATTTATGCAGATGACACTACTATTTACTCCTGTCTCAATAGCAAATCCATCAGGACTGACAAAGTTAACCTGCCCGCTGCACTTGAAAAGGACATCCAATCAGTATTTAACTGGGGCAGGAAATGGCTTGTAAATTTGAATGCCTCCAAAATGAAACTGCTCTCAACCACCATAGAGAAACTTCCCTGTCCACCATCAGCATGGCTGATGCTAAACTTCTGGAGAGCAACACACTGTGCCTTCTTGGCCTCACATTTTCAATTGACTTGAAGTGGAACGACTACATCAAATCAATAGCTGCATCCACTGCAAGGAAAGCTGGGTTACTGTGTTGTGCCAGAAGGTTTTTCTTGTCAGAGTCCATCTTGTACATTTACAAATCTACCATTCATCCATGCACTGAATACTGTTTCCATATCTGGTCTGGTGCTTCTGCTATTTGTCTCGAGGTTCTTAACAAAATCCAAAGAAAGATCTGCAATATAATCGATCTTGACTTGGCATCTCGACTTCACTCACTTTCTCACAGATGTGATGTGGCTTCCCTCTGTCTTTTCTACAAATATTTTCATGGCAACTTCTCTGATGAGCTTTTTTTCCTGGTGCCCCAACTACAGGAATTTAAGTGCGCTACTAGATTGGCATCTTTTACTGTTGAAATAATTAAATGTAACCGCCATTCTACTCCACCAGTTTCTTTTCTTGCACTTCCCGCCTGCGGAACTCCCTTCTGTTTACTTGCTTCCCTGATAAATACAATCTTCAAAAATTTAAATGCAACATCAATTCCATGTTCTGTTGACTTAAATCTCGTTCACCTTTTATCCTTTCGTCAATGCCCCCTATATCCAGTGTTTTCTCTCACGTTCATTCTCTGTAAACCCCTGCGTACTAGTAGCTCTCCCGCCTTGCTTGCGGTGAAATGATTAAAAAATTCAATTAAAAAAAAAAGAAAAAAGCAAAAAAAAAAAAAAAAAAGTTGTTTTAAAGGGAAGCAACTTTAATGAATCGTATAAGAGTTACCTCCCTTAATTCAGATCATCGTTTGATTTAAAATGAAGGATTATTTTTTGTTGGTTTTCAATTAAGTTAAGAAGGGAACAAACTGGATTCAAATTGTATAAATAGCTGAGTAGTATGAAAAAAAAAAAAAAAGGATGATTTTTCAATGACTATAAAAATTCTAGTAAATAAATATTGAAAAATAATCGAAAATGTGTTTTATATAGAAAAGGAGAGAAATTTTAACATTATACACATATCCACAGGACTGATAAATAAATAATACATCTTCCAGATACTACTTCTGAGTCAGACAAAAGCAGTGGCAACGAAAGTTTTCACATGTAAATGACAGGTTGTCATTATTTGTGATGGTAAAAGGAAATGGAATGAATGTGGAAAAAATTTCAACATAGAGATATTTTCTTGTATATTTATACAAACTAAAAAAGGATTAACAAAAAGAGAAAATATATTAGTTTGTACACAGCTAAAAAAGAAGAATATTAAACTCAACTGTTAGGAAATCTGTGTGCGGGTGATATGCATTTGTGTGTCTAAAAGGTCAATTACCTGGGGGAAAGATAGTGTTCTCAGTGGGGATGAGTCCAGTGTTGATGTTTCTATTTGTGTGTAAGAAAAATGCATTGGGATTTTTGAGGATAAGAGGGACAATAAATTAAACTACTTTATCAGACCTGACGACCAAAGACCAGAAGTTTTTTTTCATTTTAATATAAGTCATTGGTGTCTGTTGGAAAACAGACCTACTTGAAGTGGGCTGATTTAAAATCCAACAGACATTAATGATTCTTATTATATATATATATATATATATATATATATATATATATATATATATATATATATATTCATATTATTCACACACAAAACTAATGCAAGGTTAATGAGAATTTGACTAAATCCATCACCAAACAATTCAAATAATATACAAAAACCTCCGAATCCGTTATGAATGAAATGATCCTTGTTTATATAAATTCGGAGGTTTTTGTATATTATTTGAATTGTTTGCGATGATGGATTTCTCGCCAATTAAATCATTAACCTTTGCATTAGTTTTTGTGTGAATAATTCATGAATTTGTAAATTGATTGCACGTTTATTGTAATATATATATATATATATGTGTGTGTGTGTGTGTGCGTGTGTGTATGTATGTATGAAAAATAAAAACAAATAAATTTTGGTCTTTGGATCAGGTAAGATAATTTATTGCTCTCCTTATTCTCAAAAATTTCAATGCATTTTTCCTAAAAAGTTTTTTCCATTTTGTCCCATTATGTCCGCACAGACATTTTAGTGGATAAAAATGTGATAAAAAATTTCAAAGTGACAAAATCTGTTGGACTAATAAAGAACTTGCAATATGGGTGTGTGTGTGGATATAGTCACATCTGCCAACTCTGCACATGGGTATCTATTTAGAAAAAAAAAAAAAGGATTGGTTTATTACCAGAGGTAAGGAATGAAGAGACAGTCTCCGGCTGTAACGTTTATTACCAGAGGTAAGGAATGAAGAGACAGTCTCCGGCTGTAACGTTTATTACCAGAGGTAAGGAATGAAGAGACAGTCTCCGGGTTGTAACGTTTATTACCAGAGGTAAGGAATGAAGAGACAGTCTCCGGTTGTAACGTTTATTACCAGAGGTAAGGAATGAAGAGACAGTCTCCGGTTGTAACGTTTATTACCAGAGGTAAGGAATGAAGAGACAGTCTCCGGCTGTAACGTTTATTACCAGAGGTAAGGAATGAAGAGACAGTCTCCGGCTGTAACGTTTATTACCAGAGGTAAGGAATGAAGAGACAGTCTCCGGCTGTAACGTTTATTACCAGAGGTAAGGAATGAAGAGACAGTCTCCGGTTGTAACGTTTTATTACCAGAGGTAAGGAATGAAGAGACAGTCTCCGTTGTAACGCTTTTTACCAGAGGTAAGGAATGAAGAACAGTTTATTACCATTAGGTAAGGAATGAAGAGACAGTCTCCGGTTGTAACGTTTATTACCAGAGGTAAGGAATGAAGAGACAGTCTCCGGCTGTAACGTTTATTACCAGAGGTAAGGAATGAAGAGACAGTCTCCGGTTGTAACGTTTATTACCAGAGGTAAGGAATGAAGAGACAGTCTCCGGCTGTAACGTTTATTACCAGAGGTAAGGAATGAAGAGACAGTCTCCGGCTGTAACGTTTATTACCAGAGGTAAGGAATGAAGAGACAGTCTCCGGCTGTAACGTTTATTACCAGAGGTAAGGAATGAAGAGACAGTCTCCGGCTGTAACGTTTATTACCAGAGGTAAGGAATGAAGAGACAGTCTCCGGCTGTAATGTTGACATGGTGATATTCAATGTCAGCTAATTCTGGGTATTTTGTGTAATCCATTCTGGAAAGAGAGAGACAGAAAAAAATCAAAAGGTGGACATCTCCAAACAATATCTTCACTTGTCAAATATCAAAAATAAAATATTGATTATAAAGTTACCTGCTCAGTTTAGCGGAAGGAATAATTTTCTATGGTGCTTGTTGACATGTTTATTTACAATGAATAAATAGTTTAGTCTTAGATCTTTATCAGTGAGAGTTAACATGATGGCCACAAACACCAATGTATTGCTTGTTTCTGTTTCATAAGTAAATTCTAGTGTAAATTCAATAGGTTTCTGATTAAATTTCTGGAATTGTTATTATTTATATTCAAACTAATGTCTTCATCTTTGTTATTGATAATAACAATTAATATAAGGATATTTGTCAAAATGTAAATAATGTAAGGTCAGTTTTTATTTTATTTACAACATACATTGTCATAGTACAATATTACCTGATCTTGTAAATAAAAATCAAACATATGATCAAATTTACTTATGAAACAGAAACAAGTACAGTCTCTTGATATCATGCTAAACTGCAGTGATAATGTGTTAAAATTAAACATCCATCAAAAATCCACTGATAAATAGCATTTAATAAAGAAAGAACATAAAACTGTATGCAATGAGTATCCCACAGTAATAAATGGCTCTTTGATTGTTTTTGACCCCGACTCCTAGTTGAGGAGAATGGCTGTTGCCCGATATAGCCATGAAAGGATTTTCCACATTTTATTTTAAGACAACTATTTTGGAGTAACTCTATAATATAAAATGCAACTTTTTTATATATTTATCAGTTATGTAGACTGATTTTTCTTTCTTTGTCAGGAAATATTGTGATAATGACAAGAGGGATATGACATTGACAAGCAAACATTTTGTGTTATGATAACAAACAATTATCTTGTTAGTAAATAAGAGGAGATCAAGCTGTTAATACATTGTTTGTTATTTTATGTAAGCTTTCTTGGAATATTTTTACAAAGCTCAATTCTTTCTGATATGTGACAACCACTAATTTTATAGATAAAATTTCTAGATTACGCATGCAGAAAATACAATCAACATAATGCCTAATCATTCATTTTGTTTATAGCAGCCAAACTGAGTAGTTGCTTTTTAACCTGGTCTAAGGAGCTCAGGCTGAGGCTAAATCTGCCACCCCCAGCAGTTAAAAAACACTTGGTGCTGTTTCTCTTTGGGAATATATCTTTGCCAGATATAGAAAGAAGCTTCTGCTCACAAACATCAATTTTGAAAAACTCATGAGTTGATGTTTTGCTATTTGTGAATATGTTCACACCTGATACATAGTAGATGAATCTGGCACATTTGAATCTGGAATCCTAAACATGGCTTCTCCAGAAACATAGAAGAATTTCCATATTATATGTTAGACCCTTCCTTTTTGTTTCTCCTACACTCTTCTTTGCCGTGTAGATATATGTAATATATTTTTCTCCGTGTTGAACACATGTATATATAGTTTTGTGTATGTTTTAGTATATAAAGTATCTCTCTGAGATCCTTTTCCTTTCAGCTGTTCCATTCTATCCATGAGATATGGTGTTATTATATCATGGATATAATAATGCCCATAATGGGGGAAATATAAATGGGAGAACAAAACTTTCTTACATAGTCTCTCCTGTTGTAAGATGTTTCTTTTTTTTTCTCACAAAATGCACCTGACAAGGGTTAGAGACTAGATCAGTGAAAATGTTAACAATAGTAAGTACATGAAGAAGGAGTTTAATTGTCTGGACAATGTTGGGCAAAAAGAATATTGTTTAGCAAGAATGTTACATGCAGGAAAGCTCTATATTAGATTTCAAAATCTTGGCTTTACTTTGGGCTCAAATGATGATGACCACTCTTATTGAAAAATATTCAAGCATCTCATCATCAAACAATGTTAAGCAAAGATAACTTCTTTATTCTTTTATTTTTTTTGTAACTTGAACATGAAGAAGTTAGAGAAAAATATTGTGGATACAATATAAGTATGAAAGATCATTGAATACAATAAGTGCATACAAGGATGGGCAGTTGATTTGGTTGAAAACTTAATTTATGAAAAGCAGATATGTTTAAAACACTGAGGTGATCTACTGTTATTATTGTATGAATTGGTTTACCTACACCATGAATAATTATATTATTGTTCTTTATGTGTCATGTTCCCTCAAGATGGAGGTGATCATGGCTCTCCACAATTTTCTTTTCCTTATAACTCTTAATAAATTTTGTCTTTTTGTTATTTCTCCTAAAACTTGTTCAACCATCCATTTACTCAAGCTAACTAGGTAGATTATGTTCTGTTTTCCTCTGCCTCTCTTGCCTTCAGTCTGTCCTGTGAGTATCAGATTTTCCAAGCCATGTTTTCCTCATTATGTGTCTTAGAAATTTCAACTGCCTCTTCCTGATGTTAAGTATAAGTTTCTTTTTTGTTTCCATTTTCTCTAAAACTTTGTTGTTGCTCACATATTTGGTCCATGATAACCTCAGCATCAATAGTAGTCTAAAAATGAGAACTCTGCTTATCTCCAGAGGGCATTAACACACTTCAGAATGAGGAGGGTATTTGAGTGGAGAGAGGGTGTTAAAGTGTGTGTATGACTGTGTGTATGTGCTTGTAAATAAACCCCTTGATGGATTCCTTAATTTCACTGTATATTCTTGTTTGTTATTCATGCATAAAATAATAACACAACAACAATTAGTCTAGGAGAATGAGAAACTGGTTGGGTACGGAGCTAGCAACTTTCAGTCGTAAAAACATACTTACTATGGAAACTCCAAACAACAATACCTAGTGTATTGAAGCTGTGTGTCTATACTCCACAAGAGAGTTAACAGGACTTTAGTGAGTGAATGATTGCTTTAAAATAACAATGTAATAAATTTGAACAATTAATATCTGGGGTCAAGGGATAGAACAATGTGTCTTACCTATCAACATCAATATCAGAATAAGCACCATTTTCTTTCAAAAAAATCTGGAGAAAAAAAAAAAAAGACAGAAAATCATTCATTTCATCATTGTTGTAACAAAATATAAATTTTAAATCATTTAAAACCAACTGAAAAGATTGCAAGAAATTTCTTTTTCCTGAGGCAGCTGATTGACAATTTCTGTAACTATATATGTTGTATGGAAAATTCAATTTCTCCAAGATGCTAATAAAATCCATTTATGTCTATTATTGGTAAATAAAAAAACAAACA